GGAGAAATCTTAGAAATGGAAATCATTCCCAATTTCTGTTTTGGTTGCCGATAACACACTGGAAAGCAAAGACCAAGCGTGCTTTAAAAAAAAATAAAAAATAAAATAAAAATTTCCTTTTTTTATCTGCTTTTGGTTGCTGTATCCTAAATATGGAGAAAAAAATTAATGATAAAACACAAGGAAAAAAGAAGTGAAGATTAATCAGGTTTCGTCAAAATAGAAATTGGGAATGATTAACCAGCAACCATACTGATAAAGTGCCATCTTCCCTTCTTTGTGTACTCTCTAAGTTCTGCTCACGTCAATTTTTTCACCATATGCTCTGAGACATAGCTATGTGGCTTAAACTTTGGTTTCTGTATATGAAAAATATAGTTCTTGACTGCGAAGCTTTTCTGTATATGTCACAGGTTCTTAAATTCTATCCTAAATTCCCTATGTTCAACTAGAAAGAAAGGTTTCTTTTTATCTTCTTGAAATAATTCAAGTTTTAAAACCCATTTATCTAGATTGACTCTCGAGCATATGGTGTCTAGGAAACATATGGTTTACTTTGCCAGTTCAATATGCTTGGTACATAAGTTCTGAAAATTGTATGGCCTAATTGAGCAGGCATGCTGTAGAGTTCTTGCTTGAATGTGTATGTTTTGTCCTTTAAAATTACAATTGAACATAATATCCTAGATATTAGGATTGCCGCAGGCTTATGTTGATCACAGTCTGTGCAATGATTCAATCCTGAGTGAGAGAGTGGTTTTGTGATTTTAATTGTTTAGGGTGACTTTTGATTGAGATGTTCGATTGAGTTGTCAGGACAAAGGGAATGTAAATCTAGATCAACGCTTACAGAAAATTAAAGTTATATATTGAAGTTTTTGGTTTATAGAATTAGAGAGGCTGAGAAAACAGAAATCATGCTACAATATACCTGGAATGAAGATTTTTGCTGCCTCCTTCAAGGAACCTAGATCTGTTATGTCTTTGGCCTGTCCAAGTTAGCATATATTAGATAAACTGTACATTAGTATTTATCAAGCAGTTTAGAAAGTGTCACCTTATGAACAGGGCCAAATCCTCCCTCTCCCAGTTTATTCGCTACATTGAAGTTGTTTGTTGCAGCTAAAACTCTTTTTAAATTGAAGAGTGGTAGTCCTGCATCATTCTTCGCAGCTTCAGCTCTTTCTTTACTTATAGTCTCACTCATACAGCCTTCCGTGCTCCCTGTTTCATTCTTATTATTAGAGCATTGGTTGTTTGGAACACTAGAATATATGTGTTTGTGTGAGTGAGAAAGAGAAAAAGAAAGAGAAGGGTGGTAGCACTATACCTTCCATTCCCAAGTATTTCTTCCATATGAAGAATTTGTTGGCTGGGAGATTTTTTGTCAAGAGACTTTCTTTCTTTTAGTGGTTTGATGTTCATTCGACAGTTGAAGGCTCTGAAAACAAGCTAATATATAGAGTGACGGTGTAAATAGATGGATCACGGATCTTGGTGCAATTCTCTCTGTTTTTTTGGGTTATTTTTTATGCTATTTTGATTCATGGGTTGGTTTTTATGTATTTTGTTTTAGAAGTTGGACTTTTTGGAATTTGATATTGATATGGGAATTGAAAGCTTTCAGTTCAGGATAATGCTTTTCAGTGTGTGTTAATGAAATTGTTCTCTGGCTTTTCCTTATCTGAAAAATGCCAATTTTCCATGGAAACAAAGGAGATTAGGATATTATATAGAAACAAAAGAAATTGTTGTGTTATGTATTGCAATACAGTTAGTGAAAGAACTTTATTTTAATAAATGTTTTTTTTTTTTCAATTTATAGTGGAAATAACTTTAATTGTAGGCTGAAATTTCCAATTAATTGTTTTAAGTTTTGTGAATAGAGCTTAGGAATTAGCTAATGGTGTCAATTGACAATTGGTTGGGATAAGTGTGTGCTTCTTATTTTTTCTTCAAGTCCTAAAGAAAGATGGCAACCGTACAAAAATAGACTTCAACAATTTTCAAACGCAAAAAAAGGATTATATGCCTTATGAGAAGAAGAAACTGAATTTTCAGTTTTTGCGTTTTTTACAGGTGCTGTATAACTGTTTTTTAGACTGTTTGGTAGCTCTTCCCATTGCTGCTAGACAACAGGTCAGTTTTCTATTCGTCTTTTGAAGAAGTCTTGCATATCAACTGTGGCTAATTGGTTTTTGGATATTGTGTCTTTGAAAATTGTTATTTCTATCATTGTGATGTTATTGCTTATATGGTTTGCTTGATTAGGCTATAGAAATTGTATTTAATTCGTTTTCATATGTTTGTTTTGAAATTTTTTATTTCTATAGCTACAATACTGTTGGTGTGCGTCCATTTTGCTTGATTAGGATATAGATGTAATAAAAATATTGTAATTTAACTCATCCATGTTTATTTTTTCCTTTCCAGCCATCGATGTGTTGGTTGGAATTTGTAATTTTTGAATATGATGCCTAAAAGAATTACAAAAACCAGAAAAAGCCTGAGTTAAATTATAATAGATCGATATTGAATGCATTAGTGCCAAGGAAAATGTTGTTGAGTTGTAAACAGTTACTCAAAATCTTCCACCGGTTTCATACTTGGTGCATCTACATTTAGCATCTGTTCTAAATTCTTCACTAAATGGCATCAAAATATTTATTAACCAAAAATAGCTAAATACAATGAATAGTGAAATTTCCACCAATGACCAAAAAGAAAACTTAGATGTTGTAAACTATGCAGTGCTCTCAAAGT